ACAGTTGTAATCGGACAGTGTAATCGGACAGTTGGCTGTAATCGGACACCTTTAACCGGACAGTTGAAGCAACCAATCATACTAGGTCTACTCTGCCAATCCCCCAATCACAGAAATGATCACAATAACCATGGCAACGACCATTTATCCAAAGAAAAATTATGGCATTTCCAAAATGGCGGAATTTTCAACAAAAGGTATTGTCGCCATTGGAGATATTTGTTCTAGGTGTTTTTGTTTTTTCGGAAATTGCTTAGGGTTATGATTAATTTGTATCAGACCTTCTTGTCGTCCAATTCTGTCTGTAATTATACGAGTGATAACTGATTACAGACCGAATTGGACTCCACGCGATCCTATTACCACTATGAATCAAAAGTATAACAAAATTATTGAACGTGACTGGTTATCACCAGCCCGATTGAAGCACTAATAGGTCAGTGTGCGCGTTATGCTTATAATTGGACTTCGTAATAGGACAGTCAAAGGGACGGTTACTAAGTCATGCCTATGTAAATGGACAGAACGCGTAATGGGCGCGCGTTGTTGTCTCGTATTTCGTCGAATTAACTATTTTTTTTTCTTTTTGGAAAGGTATAACAGGAATTCATGTCGTCTAATTCTATCTGTAATAATACTAGTGATTGACAAATCAGACTCTCGCTTCGCGGTCGTCCGATTTTGTCAATCATTGGTATGGTTACAGACGGAATTGGACTCCACTCAGTCCTATTACCGTTATTAACAAATACTTTCTTCCAGGCGGCATAAGAACGGAACATGTTTCTAATTTTTTCAATATTGCATCTTAATAGATATGTTAAAGAAAACTGATAAGAAATACTGGAAAATGCCAGGCCCCTTTTAGAAAGTGATCGTTTGTTATTAACACAGTGCAGTTACGTTTAATTATGAATCATCTTTGATACCCGATTTATTCGATGGAATGGATCTCATGGATTTCCATTTTGGTTTTTTTTTTCAATTTTCAAAAAAAGGATTTACGAAGCTGTAGTCGTGAACAGCGGTCTCTTTCTGTTCATTATTCGTACGCATGGACACCTTTTTTAGTTGAACGGTCTACACGAGTCGAAATAAAATATGAGGAGATTAAAATAGCATAGGAAAGCTCTTGCAAGCTTCTTGTTTGTAGGTGTTTCGATGACTGGTCCAACGATTGTTTGGAAAATTATATATTGGAATGAAATGACTGATAGGGGAATTTAAAATAACAAATGCTTTAGGGGATTAAAATAGGGCACTCATCTTTTAAAAGAATACAAAAGAAGGACTTCACGATATCTGAAGTTGGATGAGTAATAATAATAATAATCCACCTTAAGAACGGATTTTTGAGCTTGGAAATCTGGTTTTTGATTTGTGTCAGTATAACATATCGTAGTTTAGGTGTCTGCACACTGTACATTGACTTCTTCTCCGGTTAGGAGCCGATTTTAGAGGGAGGTACTGAAGAATGAAAGAGTTCGTTCCAGAATGTGTACGACAGTTTGTTTCTGTGTGTTTGACAAACGTGAATAACATTTTTTTGTGTGTGTGCGTTCAATTACTATCGTTTATCGTCGTTTTTATCCTCATTTATTTGCTTTATACGTTATCAAAATTGACGAGAGTTGGAGGCTAAAATTAATAAGCACGTGTCAATGTTTTATGATCATATTGTAGATAAAAAAAATGGCCTAATTTTTCTCTGTCTTTGTGTCTGAGATCCATGATTATGAAACTAGAAGCGCATATTTGCAGCACCTGAACACTTACACCTTCAGGATAAATATAAGGAGATTCTGTCCAACAGTTATAGGGTGCTAGTATTGGAATGATATTCCTATATCAATGCGGGAGAAGCCCACTAGAAAACTTTCAAAAGTGCAGTTTTTATGTATTATTTCACTCAGTATTTATGAATGTCTTCCTTTGACCATGTGATATTAATATGTATGTTGTTAAAAGTGTGATTCCTATTCCGTCTCTTAGATATGAATTGGTTTTGTTTTATTGCATGAAAAATGTTGTTTGGCGTAAAGGGCATCTAATAGGCTTGCTTTATCATGCTCTTCTCCATTTTTTATTTTATTTTGTTGTAATTATTAAAAGGTTGTGATTGTTCAAATGAAGTAAATAATGATAAAAAATTAATAATACAGATCGTAGCGAGTCAATCAAGTAGCACTCCTTTCGCTGAATAATCAGTGTATGCTACAAAGTACGTTAGTAAACTTTTCTGTTCATATCATTTAATTTGATACGATAAATAAGATAAAATATCTATTACAAAGTAGGTTCCGTGTTCTTCTTTCCATGATAGAAACTTTAAACATTCTTCGTCAGGCGCAAATCCATACCCACCCCTCGTTTGAGACATTCCCACACCATCGAACACCTTTATTTTATCTTCAACAGTGCTGAGCTGTACAAATCCGGTCGAAGGGTCCGCGGTGTTTACCCGATCGACCCGATGGTTTAGGCGCCTTTAATGTGTATTGTGACCAAACTACAGCCGTTGGAGGATAGACAGTGATCCAGGAGAGAATGGATGGCTCTGTCAATTTTAACCGCACCCGGGATGACTACAAACATGGCTTCAGTAACTTGGTCGGTGAAATTTGGCTTGGACCGGACAAGATAAACCGCCTGACCCGAAACAAGACAAAAAAAAAAAAAAAAACAAAAAAAAAAAAAGCTTCGAGTAGATTTAGGAGTAAAAAGTGGCAAAACTGTCACCTTGAGTATGGCTGGTTTGGGACTGGGACCAGTACAGCTAACTTCCGGCTATATCTTGGCAATATCATAAGTAGGTAAACCGTTTTTTTGGCATCCATCGCTCGATTTTTATACATTGCTTCTCTCTCACCTAAATCTCGATGTTTTACTCTTCTTGGTCGAATAATGGTATTATTAAGTAGCAGGGTAGTCCTGAGGTAGACCTACACGTTCTGATTGGTTTTCACTCGGCCGGGAGTTTGGTCTGAGTGCCACATAACAAACTTCTTACTTCTTACTAGCCTTATTTTATTTATTTATTTTATTTTTTTGCGGAAAACAACAAGTTCGAAGCTATAAAGACATTATACGGACCCTAGAATTATGCGGATTTCTTTCGTTCTGTTTTGAAACAGATGCCTCTGCTTCCTCTGATTCCATTGCTCCTCGCAAAGATTTTTCAATTTCTTTCTCGAAGTCACATTGCCGTTTTCCTTCATATCGAAAATTTACTTGGACTGAAGCGATATAGTCCAGTTTGTTTGGATATATGTGGTACGCAGAGGATGGTAGAAAACACAGTCAGTTTTTTGTTTAGAGGCTTTGACTTGCCTAGTAAAACGCGTATGTTAAAACTTTTGTTATTTTCAGAATATATATACTTTTAAAGCTCTATATAATTTTATTGCGTTCTTGGGGACAGTTTTTCCAGAAGGTACACTATTCTGTAACAGTAAACTTAACGGAAAAGAAGTTAAAACAAAAAGCGAACTAACATACAAATGGAACAGGTAAAATAACTTTTTATGCGCTTCAAACTTTTTACAGGTAGCAACGGAATTTATCTTATATTGTAATCAATTTTCATCAAGCCCATCATGAATGAAGGTCAGGGTTTCAGCCAGTCTTATTAGCGTCCATTGTGTCCTCAATAACTTTAAGCGTGTCTGATTGTGGTGTGTGGTCAAATTTGTTGAGATTTCATTAAAGCTATTTCACCATTTATCCTGAAGTTTTCAGGAGAATCTTACTATTTGTCGGACCTGAAATAAATGTTTGTGGCAGGGACAGTAAAATACGAGAAGAGTTGGCCGTTTTCTCTCCACCCGTAAAACTGATATAAACCACTTGTGTTTGTGGAGTAAATTGCTAAATTAAGATTAAGTGTCGTGAATATGTTGAAACAAGGGAAAATAGTGCTGATCTGTTAATCTGGTAAACCTAGCAAAGTCATTGAATATCACATTTGTTGCCTCGGAGCACGTTCCGGATTTCACTGAGTATCAAAATGTATGAAATATAATGATTTCTGATTGGTGCATTCCTTCTGATACAATGCTGCGGCAAACTAGAAATTTAAAGAAGATAACATATCTACTATTGGCCATATAATGTCTCGTCGAATTTTTTCGGTCTCTATCCAAAAACATTTTAAGAAGTTTGTATACAAATGCAATTTATGTAGGAAACTGACCTATGAGGTACGGCACCCTTTAGAGCGGAACTCCGTCGCAAATCTACTCATTACAAATCATGAGCTCTCGGAACTCTGCATACGAAAACTTCATCGTTGACCCAAGAAATATTAGGTATGTTATTCACATAATTTCTATTCTGTTCTTATCTTATCAAGAAATCTGAATGCAAATGACACAATTATTAGATAATTAGGCTCAGTATTCCTCGAGCATAGGAGGTCTTCGACAAGTGGATTCCATGGTAACTCAATCAATAAGAGTTTTACGTAGAGGTAGAAATATTGCAAAGCAGTCTTTATTTCTTTACAAATTATAAACTCCCATTTTAAAGGTACCTTTTCTGATCTAATCTTTGAAAGCACTGGGATAGCAAAGCTTAAAAAATCCTTAAAAAATATAAAAACTATAGTATTAATAACAAAAAGTATATAAACTCTATCTTATGGCATATAGTGTTTCACTATATATAGAATTCTTCTGAATTAATTTTGGTGTTATGAGAATATGTTTTTTCCAAAACTATGTTTGGTGACATTTTAATCGTATTATTCTAAACAAATCCCATAAAGTCTGCAAATAGTAAAGCATTTTTGAAACCAACTGATTACGGTATATCTTCTTTACAACAAAAGTGTAGTCGAGTCTATGATGCTGTCATTAATCTAATTTGCATTCTAAAAATCTAAAAGTCATGAAGTAAAGAGATTGAAAAAAGTAATCGGTGTTTTATTGTCACACAAACTGCTTCTTGATTTTTTGCAAACAGCATCGATTAAGTAGATGCACATTTCATGTAAGTATAATTCAAGCCACGCGCATAAATTCCACTGGTCTTATTTTCATTTCAGTTGATGCTGGAGCGCTATTCTCGGCACTTCCATCTAGGTATCCCCAGTGGATAGCGGCCAAGGTTCCTTTTCCACAACGTCGATAAATACCATTGAGATTTGACGAAACCTCACATTCAGTAATACTGCTGTCATACCACCAGCCTCCTCCTATTTTTTGAGTACAGCCAGCATGAACCTTATCCCAGGTACCAAAACCGAAACCTTTATGAGGACCGAGGGAATCATTGGAAACAGTGGCATCTGTTTCAAAACAGAACAAAAGAAATCAGCATAATTCAAGGGTTCGTATAGTGTCTTTGTAATTTCAAACTTGTTGTTTTCCGTAAAAAAGAAAAAATAAATAAATAAATAAATAAAATAAGGTTAGTAAAAAGTTTCTTATGTCGCATTCGGACCAAACTCTCGATCGAGTAAGAACGAATCCGGACATGCGGGTCTACTTCGTTATTCGACCACGTGGAGTTTTAGATCGAGATTTTGATGAGAGAGGAGTAACGTATTAAGATCGAGGGATGAATGCTAAAAAACGGTCTACTTACCTATGGTTTTGCCAAGGTTTAGCGAGTACTTAGCTGTCTCGGTCCCAATTCCAAACCAGCCATACTCAGAGTGCACAGTTTTGCCAGTTTTTACTCCTAGATCTACTCGAAGCTTGTTCTTTGTCTTGTTTCGTGTCAGGCGATTTATCTTGTCTAGTCCGAGCCAAAATTCACCGACCAAGTTACCGAAGCCATGCTTGTAGTCATCCCAGGTGCGGTTAAAATCGACTGAGCCATCCATTCTCTTCTGGATCACCGTCCATCCCCCACCGGTTGTAGTTTGGTCACAGTATACATTAAAGGCGCCTGAACCATCCGGGTCGATTGTGTAAACACCGCTGACCCTTTGACCAGATTTGTACAGCTCAGCGCAGTTCTTAGCTATTGAAGATAAAATAAAGGTGTTCGATGGTGTGGAAATGTCTGAACCGAGGGTGGGTATAGATTTGCACCTGACGAAAAATTGTGTAAAAAATTTCTATCTTTGAAAGAAAAAGACGGAACCTACATTTTTCGTAGATCTTTTATGTAATTTGTCGTGTCAAATTAATGGTATGAACACAAAAGTTTAGTAACGTACCTTCACTTCAACAATCACAACCTTTGAATAATTACAAAAAAATAGAGAAAATTGTAGATAGGCATAATAAAGAAAGCTAATTAGATGCCCTTTACACCAAATAACATTTTCTTTTTCATGCAATAAAACAAAAGCGATGCATACATGAGAGAGGGAATAAGAATCACACTTTTAACAACAAATATATCAATAGTACATAGTCAAAGGAAGACATTGATAAATGCTGAGAAAAGTGATACATAAAAACTGCTCTTAAAAAAAGTTTTCTAGTGGGCTTCTCCCGCATTGATATAGGAATATCATTTCAATAGTAGCATCCTATAACTGTTGGACAGAATCTCCTTATATTTATTCTGAAGGTGCAAGTGTTCAGGTGCTGCAAATATGTACTTTTAGTGTCATAATCATGGATCTGAGACACAAAAGACAAAGAAAAATTAGGCGATTTTTCATCTACAATATGACCGTAAAATAGTTGACACGTAGTTATTAACTTTAGCCTCTCTCTTGTTAATTTTGATTACGTATAAAGCAAATAAATGAGGATAAAAACGACGATAAACGACACAAATGGAACGGACATAAGCAAAAAAATATATCATTCACGTTTGTCAAACACACAGAAACAAAACTGTCTTACAAATCGGCTCTAAACCGAACAATATACTGTTTCTTATTCTAATAGACTGTTTGTTGCTCCTTTCAGAGAAAGTTACTGAAAACATTTCAAAGTGTTATCCTTTTTTTTTTTCCTTTCCATGTTCAACTACACCGCTGGTTAAAAGAGTATTGCAAAGGATAAGAGTTCCGAAGAGAAAACTGTATATTTTAGAATTGTAAAATTGGTCCTTTGAAACATAATTTAGATTCACCATTCTGCAGAATAAGTCTCCCGTAATATAAGTAACAATTGAGAGCAGTGGAAATCTCAAATCGAACTTGGGTGAGTTCCTTCATTATTTCTTCCAGGCAAACTGCAGTGTTCTTTTGGCAATCTATTGGCAATGCACGCATTGATGGTAGAATTTGAAAAGTCGCTAAAAGTGCAAGAGACAGTAGAGCAGAACCTGAAGAGAAGAAGTCATCGAGCGTTATGAGGTCACTTCATCTACGATATGTTATACAGTCACATTTCCGAATGAATTTCTGACAACAAACAGAAAGAAATTATGGAGTGCTTTTGATTGGGAAATCTGGGTTTAGTTTTTGATATCCGGATTTCGGATTTTGCGACAAAACATGAAATCAAAAACCAGATTTCAAACCTTAAAAATCCGCTCTTAAAGGGGATTATTATTATAAGGTATCCAACTTATGATATCACGAAATCCTTCTTTTGCTTTCTTTTAAAAGATGAGTGCTATCTTTTAATCCTATGAAGCATCTGCTATTTTTAAATTCTCCTATCAATCATTTCATTCCAACGTATGATTTTCCAAACAATAGTTGGACAAGAAATTGAAACACCTACAAACAAGAAGCTTGCAAGAGCTCCTCTGTGCTATTTTAACCTGCTCGCAGTTTTTTAAAAAGAACAATAGTTGTTAATTTTGGCATTCCCAAGGTAGAAACGAACTCAAAACTGAATCTGCTTAATCCAAGAGATTCAACTCAACCAACTATCAAACAAGGCCATCGAGTTTTTTGAGTGAAATTGTTCAGGGCTCATTGCAAAAGAAAGTTGTAGGCTGCCACGAGCGTGAATGATCGATTGTTTCAGATAACTAACTTTACTTCATTTATCATACCACGACTGAAAAATTTCAAAGCGTTTGGAGTTCGACTACTGTTCTCTGTGATCGAGTACATTGACTGGGTTTTCGAAGAGTTGTTAGCGTTTGCTATAATAGGAGTCGCATACAAACCCCATAGGTTAAAAGAAGGTGCAAATTTCAGCCCCTTCATATTCAAAAGCTTCAAAACGAAAAAACCCATATTTGAAAAAAGGAAGCATAGGATATAATCATGTAAGTTTCTCAAAACTGTGACTTGCATATCGAACAATGTTACACACCTATTCCTTGTCGATTGTCCCTCATTTTGATTCGTCGGGTGTTGTTTGCAGTGTTATTCATAAAGGCTGCAAAAAGATAAAACTAATTTTATGGTGAAGATAAGAAAGAACATTAAGAAACTCTTCAGAAAAAGTACAATGGGAACGTTTTTCCCAAAACTAATAGAACCCTACATACCACTGGGTTCACTTACTTCACTTACTTACTTACCCTAGCCGCCCGCCTCCTTCGTGCTCCGTTCAAGAACTAATAAAAGTCCGTGCGAATTTGTCTGCTAAATATACCCACATAAAACAAAAAGTAGACAAATCCTTTTGTCTCAGGCCGCTCCAGGGGTTATAAATTCTAACATGGCGTCGGTTCGTATCTTCGCACGGTAGTCTCACCTTGTTTCGGCATTTCCTTTTCAACAGGAAATATCTGACTACCGTCAATATCTTTACCTGATAAATGAGAAGTATGTGCTGACATGCAGATGAAATATAAGTAAAAATATTATCCTCACAGGTGAGCGGCACTTAAAGAAATTCGACTCGAACTTGTGCCTTCCAGATCTAAGTTGGGCCCTATTTTCAGATAAACGACTAAGCGAGATGTCGGAAGCGCTCCCAATACCTGCCTTCGACCAAAAATTAAAGAGTAGTCATTACATAAGTGGTCAGGGCCCCAAAAGTGATGGATTTTAATTCGTCAGTTGCACAAAAATATAGCAAAAATATTTCATCTGATACAGTACTTTATTGAGATGGACAGGAGCAATCGAATTATTTCATCAATCACAGTTGACGCTTATGGATTATAAACTCTCTAATGTGGATGACAAGCACCGGCCGTGTTTCACAAGTATTTCTTCAAAAGGCTTGGCGAATGGATATATCGGATATTTCGTAAGAAGAATTGCTTTTCTAATTCGCATAAGGTCAAAAAAGCTAAGAGACGTCGTGGGTTTGCGCACTGAGTTCTTCCAGTTTGACACTTGTGGGTGTCAAATCACTCGAGTTCCCTATCAGAAAGAAGCGCAAATTTGTAACCATCTTTTTCTTGTAATTTTTTCGCAGATATTATGTTGCTTTTGGTTCTTAAGCATTTTATTTCCTTCGTTACTTGTTACTTTAGAAATTGCAATCGTATACTCTGAAGTAAAGTTCGCGTGTTGAAACAAATGACGGTTTTTTGGCTATAATTCAAAAGCAAGTTGTGATGAAATCCGGGTTTGTTCTTTATGGTGTCACATATTGCTAAGTAGTTCCATTCAATAAAAATGTCCGGATATTCCACTCAGATATCGAATGGAATAGAAAGCTTCCGGAATCTTGTTTTAAAAATTCTTTTCAAGCCCTCGAGGTCGTCTATTTTCGCGGAAATTTGAAAATTCCGACAATTAATTTAAACCAGTCGTTTTATAGGTGATGTGGAGGACGTGATATAGCTAGCATCAACTTTGGGAAGTCAGTTTAACCACAAGCGTCAAAAGTGGATGAATAACTAGGTTCGTTTATCATAGAAAATACATGCAGCATAATCACTGTTTGAGTGGGAATGGAAAGAGATGTTTTCGTTCTGTTGCAAAATACTGTTCCATTCGACACGCGACACAAATGTTTTAGAAATTCCAAACCGGAATCTTCGGTCGAATTGAACGTGCACAGAATATCAAAGAGCATCAACAGCTCGCAAATCACTCTTATTTTTCTTCTCAAGAAAAATCCCTGTTTGAGAGCTCTTTGTTAAACCACTTCATTCTTTGATAACACCTTATATTCTTCTAAACACATCAAGATCTCTCGGTAGTTTCTGTCAAGTTGTGCGGGCTTACTCGGTCTGTAGGAAACATCACTTAAGGTGATGTACGGACTTAAAAGGTCTAATGGAAACACCACTCTGTCAGTTGCACAGACTCTCTCAAGTTAAATGTATACATTAATTCAGTTGTGCGCATTTTAAACTCGCTCAGTTGTAAAACTCATTTCTAGTTCTGTTGTGCGAACTTATCCTGTCAGTTGTCGTGATGACACCCTAAAAAGTAGCTGATTTTCCTTGATAACGGTCAAAAATATGTTTTGTGGCTTTTATATAAGATAAGCAAAAAAGAAACAAGCGATTAGAAAAGCTGGGATTACTTTATTTCGTATTTCGTTCACCATCCGTGGTGATATTAGATCAACGAAGGTCATTCTCAGAAAAAAAAAAAAAACACAATCGAGCAATCCCTCAGTGTGGCAAATTAACCTTTCACTCCAGGAGACTGAATTTCACCTTACCAAATCAATTTTGTATCGAGCAAAAGTTATAAACATAGACAGAATTGTCAATAGGAGGTTCATCTGTTGATCTATTGCAATATTCTTTAAACTAACATTCAAAGGAATTTTATGCCATGGAGAAACACTTTTAAAATGTGGAAGTGAAATGATTGAAAATGAGAGCTGACAGCTTTACGGTTCAATTCCTTGATCTCGCGCGTTGGATTTTTCCCAGGGTATTCTTTTTCTCAAAATAAAAAATTATCTCATTCAAATCTGACCAAGAGTTTATGTGACGTCTTGATCAGACCGATTAAATTAAACCAAGACGACGAAGAGAGTTATTAAAGTGGACTCTTGCTGCTTTTATGATGGAATTAAGAGAGGCATAGACTGGTTTAAGTAAGCAGCAAGCCAATTAGCAAGTTAAAAGGATCAGAGAGAAATGGTCAAGAATAAGAAGTCGCTCAGTTTCACCTTTGCATTCAAATGAAACCATGATCCACGCAGATGAACGGAAATTTTAGCAAACACGTGCCACCAAAAAGCAGCCACGAAACTACACGTTGAGAGCTCTAAGGAATAGTTTTATTCCATTACCAGCTATGAAATATTCCACTATGGGAAAGAAAGAACCCTCTAAACTTGGCCTTCATTCCAACGTGTGGTTTCGTGTGGCTTCGTGTCTTATTTCAGGATTGTTTACAATTGCAATCAAAATTGCAGATCACCTGCGAGGATCACGGCTTTGTTTGATTTCAATCCACAGACCCGACGAATTTACTTCATTTCAAATCGTTTCATATTTGCATTGTAAATTTACTGCTTGCTGAAAACTTAAATCCACAGATTTTCTGAAGCCTTACACAAAATGTAATAAACAACTGCACTCCAATTGGTTCTCTTTAGTTATGGCTTCATAAAGTCTTATTTCACAATACCGATCGGCAAAAATCTGAATTCGTCAGCATGTTACATGATGCGTGAAATTGTGTCCCCCAGTTGAGGGGCAACTTGAACTATTGGGCTATAGTATTTTATACTGTGGTAGAGTTAACTTAGAGTCTTGTATTCAATAAATTAGCGGTAAAACTAAAGTGGACTACCGATATGCGTCTTTGAATTATTATTGCATTATTCCCTCGTTCTATTCCGACTTCATGTTTAACCAAAGACCTATAATTCAAAGCGGCTGACGCCCGTTTTTGCCAATGAAATAGCAGAAGATAATCCTTAGACCTAACTGCACCAAAACAATCCCAAACAAGAAATCACACTTTGTCGTTCCCATTAATGTACCGATCGATTTCAGGGCCGTAGGCATCACCATGCTTTTGGTAGCAACATGAAGGCAAGTACTCTTTTAGTTAAAAAATGGAATATGAAGGACTAAAATATTTGTTTTTAAATCTTAGACCAAACGAAATTGGGCACGATGAACGATGAATCAGCAAAACATTCACATGATACTTGTTGGAGGCCAAATTAAAAAACAGATCAGAATCACTAATTTTAAAATAATCTTTTCAATCAAACAATTGGCCCAGCCGACTGAGTTTGGAAATGGAAATTCTACCGAACTTGGAAAAATGACATTGTATGCTACCTCGCGCGTAAAATTCCAACTATATCCGACGAACTGATTATTCTTTATTGTGAATCATCTTCGAAATATTCTGAAAGTTCGGGGTTGGACTTTTGCTCCCTGCAGAAGTGATTATATATATTGGATTTTTCGGAGGTTCTTCTTGTTTCCATGATTATGCGTTGGTTACAAACCTTGTAGGTTAATAGTTGGTACAACTCTCGGCCTTTTCAAATTGAAAAGCTGCAGCTTTTAAAAACGACGAAGATTTGACCAGCTCTCAGTTGGCATGTTAGCTCTGATATTGCAACGTAAGATTATTCCTTCCAACGCAGTACATTATTGCGTGAGCAGGAGTGGTTAAAGTTCTTATCTACTATCGCTGATTTCAAGAAATCTTATCTGTTATCATTTATTTATGGATTTCAAACTCATTAAACTCATTAAAGACAACAGGCACCGCCTTGTTTTCAAGGGTTATTTTTCTAGTGGCTCATCAAATTACAGCCGGAAATATTGTGAGGGCGTTCGCTTTTGAAACTCATCTGAAATTAAGCGAGTTAGCAAAGCTCAATACAAATGAAATTAAGTTCATACCACCAACTGAACTAGTGTGTAATTTATATCTCCTAATCAGAGAGGATTTACGCCTAGGGTAAAGGTGAATAATCTGATTAGGCTACCACATCGGAAACAAAGCAGGTGGTCCTTTTCATCGTTCCACGAAATAAGACAAAGGATTACGCTTTTTATCATCTTAGAAGTTTTTCTTCCTAAATTTTCTACCACTGAGTGTACAATTCAAGGAAATCCAAAGTATTATGCTATATTGAAATACCTTATACCTCTCCCGCCTTAACTACAGATTGATTTTGCTCTTCTCAATTACTCTAACGAAAAAGTAAATATATGTCATCTGGTGACGTTAAAAAGACGGCTATTGATTGTTAAACCAATACAATCAGCTCGCACAATTAAAACAACAAAAGAGTTACCATTAAATTACTTAAACAGCTTGTCTTCACCTATCCGCCATGAGGCAGAAGCCATTAGTAATTTGAGGATCTCGTGTTCGATTCTGGAGAGATGTCTCGTCATTTAATTGTAAGCTTTGATAATGCGAGGGCACATAACTTGTGACTATGTTTAGTGAGGGTTTACTACTGAACTGCAATGACAGTAGGAGAGCCATGCAATTACATCATCAAAAAATCGATCAATCGATCAATCCATATATTGATTAGTTACTGAAGTCAGAGTATTTCATGAACTCACGTCCGGAGATGTCTTTCACTTCACGGTTAAGGAACAGGACTGACTCTTTCTAGTGGATTTTATCCGCGCTTAAGATAGCTCGCTAAGATCGGAATTACACGGATAAGGAAAATATGCAATATTTAGTAATGACAAGAACACAGACCTATTTTTTCTGTCAAATCGTGGGACAGAAGAAATTATTATCGCCAGGGACAGAGCTTAACGCTCTGATTTTACCGAAAGTCAGGATAACTTAGATGCTCAATGTCTTAGCCAGTCGTTGGTCAGTTATGGCCAGATTGTGGTCGAACGCAGTTCTGCAAATATATTTTAAGATTCATCTTTCCATTCTCAAGCTTAAGCAGGGAAATCTACCAATTTACAAG